ATTTTCCTTCTTTACACTATGTGTTTTTCACTTTGAGATTTTACCACAGGGGTACCACAAGCAAGTTTCTTTGGGCCCAAGTAGCCTTATTTCACAGTCCCCACAAGCACTAAACACAATAATTAATTTGTAAAAATGTTTTGAATGAGGAACCGCAGGTTTTGGTCACTATGGTCAAGCATCAACAAAACCAGACTGGCTCACGCGCCTGCATGGGGACATACTGACAGAGCGGGCTGGCAGAAAGGTCCGATACCTGCGTGTTTGAAAAAAGGGGGCTGAGTTCGATAATGAGGACAAAGGTTATTCATAAAAAGTGGTCGATTTTCGAAGATTTCGATAAGTGGATACTTTCGAATTTGAGGTTCCACTGTACACTGGACCCCCCCGGATTACGAATATATTCATTCACAAAGTATGTTCAAGGTGCCAGTACTGAAAAATTTGTTTCTCCATAAGGAATATTTTGAATAGATTAGTCCATTCAGACCCCCAAACAAACACGAACAAACGCACTTACATAAATACACTTACATAACAGTGTCGTCTTGGGAGTGGATCATAAAGCGGTGTTCCACTGAATATATATTCAAACTTTTTTTTTATCAAAACCAATAAATTTTATTATAAAACATTATGTTCTTATTATGGTAAAAATAATTCTTCCTCTAAAGCCATAGCGTACTGTAAGAGGCAAATAAAATGCCGGAGCAAGAGGCAAGTAACCCCTTTTCATTGTAAGAATTAACTGTACTAACTGTAAAAAAAAAATTTGTTTTTTTTTCTTTTCATGACTCCCTGCCATTGTTTGGATAAAGCGCACTGAAATTTGACTATAAGGAAAGAGTAATACTTACCTTGTTAAAATGTCCCTGACTTTAAGTATTATTTGGTACAGTATATGAATTCCGCCTATACCTCAAACAACAACCTTAAATTTCAGCACCCCATATCCAACACATAACCAAAAAAGTATCCAAAACGTTGAGATCCTCTCCAAGATACAATACTACGTACCAACAAAATGCCCATTCTCACCTATAAACCACTCACTTTATTTATCCATACCCCTCACCTATGCTATTTGTGCTTGGTAATCAAACTTCAGCAACACACCTAAAGCCAATACTAGCCCAACAAAAAGCTGCAGTAAGAATAATCACTACTAAAATTCCATCCTAGCAACACCCCCCCCACTCTTCATAATGCTAAACTTACCTCCCTGTTCAGTACATACCACACTTAACTCCTACCTTGATGGTCAATCTAACATCTACAGGACCTAATCCAATATTAACCTGACCAAAATGCTTTCTTGATAGTTTGTGAGACAGAACACACCACAGGCATAACAACCTAAACAAACATCACCTAATGTGACATTCCCCCTTGTCCGACTAAACCTTTACAAAAATTCAATGATTTCAAAAAAGGCCCTAAATCTGGACACCTACCTTAAAACTCTAGAACTGCAAACACCATTCATCACCTTCAAACCTACCATTAGAAAACATCTTATCTCCCTGGTACACCCTGTCAACTAATTACACTGAATACCACCTGGTGTTCACACTTACACACACTCACCCATGTTGTGACACATCATAAACAGAAATATCAATCTCAATCTGAAATAATGAAACCTATCTAGTCATAAGTATTTGCCTGTTATACACTCAATACCTGAAACTACGTATTGTGCAAAACAAATGCATACACAAAGCTAAACTCACAAACCTATTATTTAGTCACTTAGCCATAATACCAACTTACCGGCAATAATTTGTAATAATTTTAAAGTTAAGAATTAATCTAAAGTTTACCCCCTGAAATTCCTATCCATGAAAGTCTAGGTGTTCTAGTTCCCCCCCTGTAAATTAGTTATTTTACTACATGAAACCACACAAAACCAAATTCTGTAACTCAGCATTGTAATCCTTATAGAGAATAAACTTTGAAAGATGGTGAATAATTTGAAACTGACAAGTGAAAATCCACTGCTGGTTATATGATTTGGGGTGAGGACAATATTAACAATTACAGCTCAAACTGAGGAAGGAATGACGTGTGTAATTTGACAGTAATGTAAATAGAACAGGTAAAAAAGAAAAAAAAAAAAGAAGAATAAAAAAAAAGGTGTTAGTCTATTCATCTTGTACTGTGATAATACATATCCCACTCTTGAGGGGAAAAAAGGGAATGATATGTTTTGCCATTACTTCTTATAACGCTTTGCTAATTCCATTGTTGATGAGGTGATCTGTAGGTTCGTCAACTGTAGTGGTTTCTTAAGTGTCATTCAGGATCTCTAGTATGGTTTCAAGCCATTCTGTCTTGTGATGCTTGAAACCTGAAAATAGAAGGTTACATCATGAAAAAAGTCAGGATCAATTTCAAAGTCAAAGTGAAAGTCTGGAGGTATCAGAGGGAACAGGCAATGCCAGTCAACCCTGAAGTTCATGCAACAAAGCATTATCCAAAAGCAGTACAGTGGTACCTTGAGTTTCGAACAGCTCCTAGACTTGAACAATTACATAAGTGTATTTGTACTTGTACGTGCTTTTGTAAGTGTATTTTTGGGGGTCTGAAACGAACTAATCTAATTTACATTATTCCTCAATGGAAACAAATTTGTTTGGTAATCAGCACTAGAAGAGCCTTGCTGGAACAATTAAGTTTGCAATACACTAAGGTACGGACTGTACTAGGTTCCAAATGCGAGTCCATGGGCCCCCCCAGGTCCGATCAACAGTGTGCAAACGGTTATTATTATCTGTGTTAGTAATTATATTCAGCTCTTCCAATTTGCCAATCACCACTGTAGCTCAACAATGTATACACACACCAACAGTGGATCAAAATGACACCCATTGGACCAAGTGATGCCTCATTGTCACTGAGTGCTTTGTGTAGCCATTATACTGTACTAATTGTCACCCACCAGAGGGGGAAGAGCAAAGCTAGACAGTAGGCTGATTCTTGTATGCCCATATAGAACCTCCCATCTATACCTCTAATCTCTTACCAAAGTATATTGCCCATCTGCAGATAGCTCCACTGACCTACTCAAACTCCAGGTAAAGAGGAAAATAAGGAATATCAGTCCACAGTGTACAGCACACAGACACAGGGGCAGTACTCAGATGGCTTCTATATGCCATGTCCATCCTGAGGCCATGACAGCGAAGACCATAATTCTTCTCACTGAGCATAAAGAACCTGTCATCAGGTAAATAAAACTACAGTAATGAAAATAGTTCATTCAAAAACCAAGATGAAGTAATACATTATAAAATTTAATTTAATTTTGTTTATTTCTCTATACTGCACATGTTACAAACATTAGAGGTACCACTGTAACATACCTTTCACAATCTAGATCCCCCAAAACACCAGAACAGTACAGAAAATATATAAACAAGGAGACAGAACACTGAATTCATCCACAAAAACTTTTCAACATTACCTGCCATTTACATGTGACATTCTATAAAACAATTTGAACCAGGGTAATGTTATTGTTTATTGACAATACACAGGGTCAAGAGAAGAGGGACAAGAGATCCCTAAAATTTCTCAAAAGCTCACCATAAATTTTAAAAATACTTTATCTGTACTGTATTCTTTTAACTGTTGTATTAGAAGACAAAAATTCAAAGGACAAATACTGTACAATTATTGTATAAATCTGTTTGAAGTGTCTCTACTGGAAATGTACAATACAGTCAAGACTTATTTACAGGGACTATTTTGTCTTGGACCCTCTAGTCACTGAAGCAATCTCACTGGTTCTGCCTCTCTTACAATTAATAGATGGTGAAAAGAAGGTAAGGTGGCAGTCTTGTTTACAAGCATTAACAAGCATAATATACAGATCTTTTATCTCTTATTAAATGGATTTCTAAGTTACTATGATAATATAGTCTGGTAGAAATGTATATCAAGCTGTGTTTACAGTGATCGAAGTGTACCAAGTTAACTGGCACAATATAATAAGAATAAGTGGTAAAGTAATATTGATATCTACAAGTATTTGATACAATAACTAAAATATTTAGCTAGATTTCATACATACTCTGGCTCGCACATGAGATGATGTAATAATAACATAATGAAGTAATAATATAAAATAATAATGACAAAAAAATTTAATATAATGAAAAAATAATAAAAATAATAATAAACAATAATAATAAATATAAATAATAATGATATTTTATCTAAAAAAGCAGACAAATGAAAGATACAATTTTTGTGAAATGCTCATTATATGCACAGCATTTCAGCAGATACCAGAACTAAAATTATATTAAAAAAAAAAATACATAGAGTGAGAGTTTAGTACAATGCACTGTATTGATAGGTAAGATGGAATATATTTTTTTATTTATTTTGTAAGTGTATTGAACTGGTTGGTAATATATTTAATGTGAAAGTCAAAATAAATAATTGGGCAAGGGGAATAATAAATCATGATACAATGGAATGAAAGTAGAAAGTAGCATAATAATGATGCATTAAAGGTTAAAGATACAGTCCATTAATTAAACTTTAGTGATTGGCCTAAAGAAAGACAGAGATAGGAGTAATTAATGAGATAACAATAAATATAATATGAGATTAATTGTAAATGCTTAACAACACTATATTGTAATACCTCAACCACAATAATGATTGTATCAAGTTTAACACAATTTGAATAAATTAATATAATCATCTGTATGATACGTACAACTGTCTCATTTGCTAGAACAGATGATTAGCATTAGCAAGGGACTATGTATATCAAGCACAGATACTGTGATGTTAGTATTAACATACTAATTCTTCCTTCCACCCTCTTAAACCTATCAACCCCCCCCCCCAATAAGTGGAAAAAAAAAAACATTCGTGATCTACTGTATTTAGTCTTTAAATCCGATTACTGTGGCATGTGCAATACTAAAAAATACAGATTACCTGCACTTCAAATTGCAATTCCAATAATAAATTAATGAAGACTATAAACCAGTCCTTCCTATCCATAGTAGAACACCATACCTTTCATGTATTTCTTTTGTTGTTACCCCTTCCAGTTCTGCCAGTCTGCCCATAACAAGCTGTGCTGCATCTTTTATCTCATTATATTGATGAAGATTTTCTATATGACACTGAAGTTCTTCAATCTTATAACCGCAATTTTTCAAAGAAGCTATTTCTTCATCCAACTCACTTTCTTTTTCACAAAGCTGGGCCAACTGATTTTCTGGAGGTAACAAATTCTGAGAAAGTGTGTTCTTGCTTGGAGTCCGGAAAGGAACACTAAAATGCTGTGAACTACTCTTCTGCGGCAAGAACTTAAAAGAGATGGTGACCTGCCTATTGTAATTCTCTTGGGAGTTAAGCTATTTGCAATGATTAGCTTTGACTGTAACTGAGGTGGTGTTTGGTTCATTCTATCTGCCACCACTCTATCACTGCAACCTATAGTAAAAATATTTGTCTCTTTATTTACACTGCTGATTTCCTCAGAATCTTTCTTATTAGGTGAAGTGTTATTTGCATTTGGGTCTGTGGACCCAGCCACTCTGAAAGGACTCTTAAAAGCCTGTCTGACCCGTGATGCACCTGGTGTTCCTCCACTACTATTCCTTCTTAGTGACATGGTTTCTAATAACTCAGAGTACTGTCCTGAACTTCCAGAATATATGAGTTTCACCTCAAATTATCCTGATTTCAATTTCTTGAACTTGTCAATTTCTTACTATGCTATATGCAGTTTTTTAATAACATTTAGATCTCTACAAAATTTGCTTTTACAAAAGTCAGCTGGAAATGAATTGACTGTAGTACTTACAATTATCCTCAACAGTGCTTTTATATTTAGAGGAAAATGAAATCTATCCTCAATTTACTCTTAGTACTAGAAGATAAACAAGCTGAGAATTAGTGCAATAAATTGAAAAAGCAAGTCGATGGTGCAGCTCTTGGCTTGTTATACTCTGGATCAGCAACATTCTCACAACTGTAAAGCAGAAGCAACATTTGAGAGCCTGTAATAGTATATAGTATAGTAATACTGGCAAGTTGTAATTATAAAGACAAACACAGCAATTAATTAGACTTGATAAAGCCTGCTGCAAAGGCAAAACATTGTCCAAGTAAAATTCCCAATTGCTGCTTGTGTATCATTACTGCAATCTCAGTGCCTGTATACACTATCTCAAGTTCAATTTAATGATACCTAAAGCTTTTTACTTGCATAAAATATTACTAGTGAACAATGATTCTACATTCAGTATAGTATTTTGTAATGCAATATATTAAAGACATGAAACAAGGATATGGGCCTAGGAGTAATCTTTGATAAATAAAAGTCACAAGGATCACAAAATAAAAAGTTGAAAAACTCTTATAAATCAATGGCACAATTAAAATAGACTCTATATTAGGGATGTGATAAAGTACTATTGGCATTGGTGGGCATCGCCAATTTTGATGTATTGGCACTAATATCAGTGGGTATTATCAAATTTTTGATGGTACTGGTATCAGCCTAAAAGTGAGAATTAATATCAGCAAAAAACTGGTATTGCACATCCCTACTCTAGATACTGTATATGGAATGAGGAAATGATGAAAAAGATGTTCAAATGTATTCAACCACAAGTCAAATCAAATCAAGTTTATTCTCTATAAGGATTACAATGCTGACAAATAGCAGTGGTATGGTTTCTCTCTGAAAAAGAACAGAAATGCCAAAGGAATAGTAGATGTCCTAAATGATTGATAGAGAACAAACCACTGCTATAACCTAAAAAGAAGAGATGCCAGATGACAACTTCTACCTTAAATCCAGATTTGGGTGTCTTCAACAATACTGTTAACAAGGAGCTTGTAATGATTCTACTTGTATGACAACCAACAAACTCATTCAATATTGATAAGACCTCCAAAGTACAGTGGACCCTCGTTATCGACCATAATCCGTTCCAGAAGGTAAGCCTAAATCCGAAAAAGCCGAAAACCAAAATAATAATTCCCCATAAGAATTAATGCAAATACTATTAATCCGTTTCAGATACCCAAAAATATTAACAAAAAAAATACATTTTTTAAAGAATAACTATAGTTTTACATACACAAAACAATGAGAACTAAATAAAATGACTAATGAAATGGATAAATAAACTTTTTAACACTTTTACCTTTATTGAAGACTCTTGTTGGTGCTAATATGAACTCTATGGCTTATTTATTTATCACAATTCATCTGATATGACATAATAAACAACATTAATAACATAGGAACATGAATATACTCTAAATGAATAAAATAATGTCATACATATGTGGCAAGTGGAGGTGTGATTATTATTGTTGTTGTTGGGTTTATAAGGGCTACTGACAGAATAAGCCGTATAGTGGTGGTGGTGGTGGGCAGCAGCAGTGATCACCACCACTATCACACTGAAACAATGTATGTAATTTATAAATAAGAAATACTGTATAAAAACACATAAAATGTAAAGAAAAAGTGTTACTGTGGAGAATAAAAGACAATAAAGTGTATTGAGATCTAGAGAGTTTAGGTGTGAAGAATCAGGCTGCAAAGTCGTCATGTGGCCCTATATTATTATTAATTATTATTTTAAATTTGAGCACACCTACAGAGGTACAAAAAAGAAAAAAACGATAAAGCAGCATGCCAAAGCACTATAGCTATGCATAGCATTACGGTCTGGCTTAAAATTAACTAAGTTACCTAAGCAATGATGAAGTCAATAAGGATTATAAACTGGACTATAAACAGACGGGGTTTTAGGCGCCCTTATCAAACACACAAACAGTAACTACTAAAGCAGTAACTACTAGAGCGGTAAGCTTGTCCAAATATACAAGTACAAATACAAATAGAAATACAAATAACCAGATATTCAAGAGGTTATTAGTAGAATACAGTAAATCAACCATTAAAATCACATTGTGAAATCCTGTGTAGTCTGCGGCCAAACAAACAAGCAAGCTTCCACATGGACTACATGCAACCTTTGTGAAAATTGGGCTCATGCCCCATGTGCAGATATCCAAGAATTATCTACAAGAGGTATTAAATCAGGGAAGTGTTTTTGGGTATGCCCAAATGAGATCAATATGTGGACTAAAATCACATTGGTATTAAAAGAGGATAACATCAAAGCAGCCTTCATAGAAAACCTGCAAGCATTCTATAACAGATGGGAAAATACAAAGTCTGGGCTGGATGGTGCTATTGCCCTTAGTACGGATGCTGTCCTGGCCGACAGTAACTGTATGACTGCAGGTGCTGGCCAGGTAATCAGGAACTGTAAGGCTGGAGGTGCTGTCCTCGTAGACAGTAACTGAGAGGCTGGAGGTGCTGTCCTGGTAGACAGTTACTGTGAGGCTGGAGGTGCTGTCCTGGTAGACAGTAATTGCATGCATGGAGAAATGCATATCAGTGGCCTCGAGGGGGACAGGAGCTGTAGCTGGGGAAACAAGTGTAGTCAAGGACAAGATAAAACCAATATTACAAACTAGTAATACCACAGGAGATAGCAAACAAGGAGACTCCACTAGTAATAGTGAAGATAAATTACCAGAAACAACTTGTGAGAGCTCCATTGTTAGTACTAGTGAGGATAGAAATGAGACAGGAAGACATGCACAAACAGGGAATACAGTCACAAAAATCCAAGGCAAACAGAAACCAAGCCTGTGCAAATAATATGCACTTGGTATCTGCAGGCATGGGATATCTGGAAAAACAGATGGGACGTGCAACTTTGACCACCCTAGAAAATGCCATGCTCATATGACAACAGGAAAATGCAAACTCCCATCCTGTAACCTTTTTCACCCTGAAATGTGTCCCCCTTAAATTGCCAGGCACACCATCTAAAGGGGACAAAAAGATACAAAACACCCAGACCATGGGAAAACCTGGGTAGCCACAGCCACTCAGAAGGGAGAGGTTTTTTAGTGCCAGGAAGAAAAAAAAAAAAAACCTGGCAGGAAATGGCAGAAATCGTACACCAAAACCAGTCATTTCAGGAGTGGAATCACAGTCGATGGCCTCCACTAAAAACCAACAGATACAGATATTAGTGCCGGAAAAAAAGTCCCCCCCCCCCCCCAGTACCACCAATACCACCAATCCATGACATTCTTTTTTGCAAATATACAGGGTCTAAAGCCAGCAACAAACAACAAAATACCTTTCATCTGTGGACTGCTTGCAGAGGCAAATGCAATGTTGATGGCTTTCACAGAGACCCACATAAAGGATCACTTGGACAACGAAATATGGATCCCAGGTTACAACCTATACAGATGTGACAGAGTGAACAGGCAAAAGGAAGGGGGGATTTGGCCTGTATACTGCAGTCACTTATTTGCACAGAATTGCTAAATGCCTCAAAATGTTGTAGTTGAAGTTTTAGCAGTAAAGATTGAGAACCAAAATCTAGTCATTGTGGTAGTTTACAAGCCTCCGGATGCAACATCCCAACAATTCCAGGAACAGCTGTTGAAAATTGACCATTGTCTGGAAAATCTTCCAGCTCCTGCCCCAACATCTTGCTCCTGAGAGATTTCAACTTAAGGCACCTAAAATGGAGGAATATAGCAAATAATGTTGCAGTGATAACACCAGGAGGTAGCTCAGATGAGAACTCACATACACACACACACACACACACACACACACACACACACACACACACACACGAGCTTTTAAATCTCTGCACAAAATTCACCTTAAACCAGCAAATAATAGAGCCTACTAGACTGGAGAATACATTGGACCTCATCTTCACTAGCAATGATGATCTGATACAAAATGTCACCATATCAAACAATATACAGTGGACCCCCGGTTAACAATATTTTTTCATTCCAAAGTATGTTCAGGTGCCAGTACTGACCAAATTTGTTCCCATAAGGAATATTGTGAAGTAGATTAGTCCATTTCAGACCCCCAAACATACACGTACAAATGCACTTTCATAAATACAGTGGACCCCCGGTTAACGAACTTTTTTCATTACCAGTAGTATGTTCAGGTGCCAGTACTGACCGAATTTTTTCCCATAAGGAATATTGTGAAGTAGATTATCCATTTCAGACCCCCAAACATACACGTACAAACGCACTTACATAAATACACTTACATAATTGGTCGCATTTGGAGGTGATCGTTAAGCGGGGGTCCACTGTACACTTACATAATTGGTCGCATTGGGAGGTGATCGTTATGCGGGGGTCCACTGTACAGTGGACCCCCGCATAACGATATTAACCCGTTCCTGAGAGCTCATTGTTATGCGAAATTATCGTTATGCGAATGAATTTTCCCCATAAGAAACAATGGAAATCAAATTAATCCGTGCAAGACACCCCAAAGTATGAAAAAAAAATTTTTTACCAAATGAAATATTAATTTTAATACACACAAACTGAAAAAGACATGCACAGTTACATGACACTTACCTTTATTGAAGATCTGGTGATGATTGGTGGGATGGGAGGAGGAGAGTCTTAGTGTTTAGAAGGGGAATCCCCTTCCATTAACCCTTTCAGGGTCCGTCCCGTAGATCTACGGCTTCACGTTGAGTGTCCAAACCATAGATCTACGCCAAAATTCTAGCGCCATCAAATTTTGCGCGAAAAACGCTCATAGGCCTACATGTGAGAGAACGGGTCTGCGTGGTGGTGTGGTGGGCCCTAAACAAAAAAATCTAGGGGGGCCCCATAGCATTTTGGGAACGCCGGCTCAGTACCCTTTTTTCACCATGCCCCGTTTTAAGTCACTCTCA